CTTCCCAGATCCTCAACTTCCCGGATTCCCAGCTTCCCAGATCCTCAACTTCCCAGATCCCCAGCTTCCCAGATTCCCACATCCCCAGCTTCCCAGATCCCCAGCTTCCCCGATTTCCAGCTTCCCAGATCCCCAGCTTCCCAGCTTCTTGGATCCCCAGCTTCCCAGATCCCCAGATTCCCACATCCCCAGCTTCCCAGATTCCCACATCCCCAGCTTCCCAGATCCCCAGCTTCCCAGGCCAGGCAGAGCTGGATCCCCCTGCTTATCCTGCAAAAAGCACATCCCGTTCCTGACTGCACAGTCCTGTGGAATCACGGAATTCCAGGATGGAAGGGAGCTTAAGGATCATCCATTCCCACCCCCTGCCGTGGGCAGGGACACCTCCCACCATCCCCAGGGGGATCCAACCTGGCCTGGGACACTCCCAGGGATCCAGGGGCAGCCACAGCTTCTCTGGGAATTCCAGCCCAGACCCTCCCCACCCTCCCAGCCAGGAATTCCTTCCCAATATCCCACCTAACCCTGGGAAGCCATTCCCTGTGTGCTGTCCCTCCAGCCCTTGTCCCCAGTCCCTCTCCAGCTCTCCTGGATCCCCTTTAGGCCCTGGAATGTGCTCCAAGGTCTCCCTGGATCCTTCCCTTCTCCAGGTGAACATTCCCAGCTCTCCCAGCCTGGCTCCTGCAAAGATTCCAAGGAGTTGCAACACCTTTGCCATGAATTAAGGAATGGAGCTGCCCTTCCAGGGGCACAAAGCCCTCAGGAGTGAAGGAGAAGCCAAGTAGGAGAAGGTTTCTCTGTCCCTGGAATGCTGTGGGATCCCTGGGAACAGCCCTGGAGTGGTGTGGGATCCCTGGGAACAGCCCTGGAGTGGTGTGGGATCCCCAAGAACAGCTCTGGAATGCTGTGGGATTCTTGGGAACAGCCCAGGGGTGGTGTGGGATCCCTGGGAACAGCCCTGGAGTGGTGTGGGATCCCTGGGAACAGCTCTGGAGTGGTGTGAGATCCCCGGGAACAGCTCTGGAATGCTGTGGGATCCCTGGGAACAGCCATGGGATCCCTGGGAACAGCCCTGGGGTGGTGTGGGATCCCTGGGAACAGCCCTGGAGGGATTTGGGATCCCCAGGAAC